GATGACCTCGGGGTCGGAGGACGATAGGGGCGGCCTTCCCACAGTGGCCTTGGGGCCGTTCTGGGGGTCGGGGGCTCCTGGCGTCGTCGGACAAGCGGGCAAAGGGCCAACTCTGGTCGTCAGGGGCCTTAGGCCACCGTTCGGCTCGGGGGCCTCTTCTCCCTGCTCCCTCCCGGGTCGAATCGGTACAGGGTTAGCCTCGGGGTCAGAGGGCGATAGATGCAGCCTTCCCGCAGTGGCCTCGGGGCCTTCCTGAGGGTCGGGGGTGCCCAGCACCATCTGACGAGCGGGCAGAGGGCCGACTCCGGTCGTCAGGGGCCTTAGGCCACCGTTCGGCTCGGGGGCCTCTTCTCCCTGCTCCCTCCCGGGCCAAGTCAGCACAGGGTGGGGGTGCGCGGAATGAGGATTGTCCTCATCGCGCTCCACAACCAACGCTGCACTAACTACTTGGGGGGGCGCCGCTAAGTAGAGTAGCAGGGGCTCATTTGGCTCCGGGGCGACTAGAACCGGAGGAGAGCTGAGATATGCTTTCAACTGAGTGAGGGCGCGTTCAGCTTCCTTCGTCCAAGTAAACGGCCCAAAGCGCTTGAGGAGCTTAAATAAGGGTAGCGCCTTCTCTCCCAGCCTCGATATGAACCGACTTAGGGCGGCCATGCAACCGGTGACACATTGCACATCCCTAAGTTTACTGGGGGGGCGCATCCGCTCTATAGCTCGTATCTTCTCGGGGTTGGCCTCGATGCCTCGGGCAGAGACCAAGAACCCGAGAAGCTTGCCCGCAGGTACACCAAACACACACTTATCGGGGTTCAGTTTTATGCGGGCGGAGCGGAGGCTCTCAAAAGTTTCCGCTAAATCTGAAAGTAACGTTTCCTGGTTGCGCGTCTTTACAACCAAGTCATCGACATAAGCCTCAACATTACGTCCTAATTGGCTACCCAAAGAAATTCGAGTAGTACGTTGAAAAGTAGGACCTGCATTCTTTAACCCGAAGGGCATTGTCGTATAACAATAAGTTCCTATGGGAGTAATGAACGCAGTTTTTTCCTCATCCTCCCTAGCCATGCGAATCTGATGGTAACCAGAGTATGCATCTAGAAAACACAAAAGGTCGCACCCCGCGGTGGAGTCGACAATCTGATCTATGCGAGGCAGGGGGTAAGGATCCTTAGGACATGCCTTGTTAAGGTCGGTGTAGTCGATGCACATCCGAAGCTTGCCGTTCGCCTTGGGAACGACCACCGGGTTCGCCAGCCACTCCGGATGGATGACCTCACGGATAAATCCGGCCTCCAGAAGTCTCGCCACCTCCTCGCGGATGAAGGCTTGACGTTCCGGGGCCTGGCGCCGCACTTTCTGCCGGACCGGCCTTGCGCCCGGCCGTACGGCGAGACGGTGCTCAATCACCTCCCTGGGGACCCCGGGCATATCCGCCGGTCTCCATGCGAAAACGTCAGCGTTTGCCCGCAGGAAGGAGACGAGCGCGTCTTCCTATTTGCCGTCCAGAAGACCACCGATCCGTGTGGTCTTGGACGGGCCGTCGCCCAGTGCAACCTCCTTGACCGGGACCTCATCGGACGTGACTATCCGCTGCCTCGGGGCGGCGGGGGCGGATGCGCCAAGCCTCTCGTCGCCACCCTCGGGCTTGGACACGACGGCGAGGCGGTCCGCACGCTGCTCCATACAAGCGAGCGCGACTTTGAGGTCGCCATGGACAGAGATGGGGCCGTCGGGGCCCGGCATCTTCATCTGGAGGTAGGCGTAGTGGACCGCCGCCATGAACTTCACCAACGCGGGCCTCCCCAGGACCGCGTTGTAGGGCAGACTGAGGTCCGCCACATCGAAGTTCACCCGCTCCGTGCGGAAATTGGCGGGTCCACCGAAGGTGACCGGGAGGTCGATATGACCTAGCGGCCAAGTGTGCCCCGGCGTCACGCCGATGATTGGCTGGGACGGCCGGAGCATCATCCCCGGGGCCTTGATGGCATCAAAGGCTGCGGGGAAAGGATGTTGAGGGCTGCTCCTCCATCAATGAGGACACGCCCCAACTTCACGTTGCAAACGGTGGGAGAAACCACCATCGCAATCTGCCCTCCCCAGGCAACGCACGGCGGGTGGTCGGTCTGGTCAAAAGTGAGGGCAACTTCCGACCACCGCGCCCGGCGCGTCGCCTCATGAGTAGGGGCCGCAGCCAGAAGCTCTCGCTTCATAGCCTTGAGGCTCCGGCGAGAAACGTGAGCACACGCTCCTCCATCGACAGTGGCAATGGTGGCCCCAGGTTCTTGGAAACCTAGGTCATCATCGCCATCATCGATGTCCTCGGCGGGGGCCTTCTGCCTGGCCTCACTTCGCCGACGGCCGGAAGGAACCGCCGGGGACTTGCCTTCCCGGCGCTCCTGCCTCCTCTCCTCCTCCCACTTCCTTGTCCGCTCTGCCAAGCTTTTGACTGCGCGACAGTCCGCAAGGTCATGGAGGGAGGTGTTGTGGACGGTGCACCACTTGCCGGTAGGGCGCTCCCTGCTGGGAACGCTGGCCTCCTTCTTTTTGTCGCTCGCAGGCCTCCCCTTTCGGGTGGCCCGCGAAGCGCCCTCGACGGCGAGGACATGACCCTCGCCGTCGGAACGGACTGACCTCTTTTTCCTCCTCCTGTCTCGCCGCCCTGCCTGAGCGGCGGATCCGGGGGCGGCCGAAGCTGCCACACCGGAACCGGAGGGGTTCCAAGTCCAGGCCTCCTCCTTGCGAGCCACTCGGTCCGCGAGCTGAAAAAGCTCTGCGGTAGTCTGGGGCTCTTTGGAGGCGATCTTTTCGAGCATGCGGTTGTGCCGCACGCCCCCCCTGAACGCGTAGATTACCGCGTGTGCAGGGATGCATGGTATGGTATTGCGGACCTGACAGAACCGCTGAATGTACGATCGAAGCGACTCATCGTCCCTTCGCTGTACGGCGTGCAAGTCCGCTTCCTCACCGGGGCGCGGATACGTGCCTTGGAAGTTCATGGTGAACTACTGGCACAAATCCTCCCAGGAGTGGACAGACGCGGGTGGCAAGTTCATTAGCCAACCCCGCGCTTGCCCCTTCAGGGCCATGGGAAAGAAATTCGCCATGACCCTGTCGTCACCCCCGGCGGCCTCAATCCCGGTCGTGTAGACCTGGAGAAACTCGGCGGGATTGACGCTGCCATCATATTTTTCGGCGATGGTGGGCCGGAACCTTGGGGGCCAACGGACATTCCGAAGACTCGCCACAAAGGCTCTACAGCCGACACCACCAACCGGGGGCACGGAGGGCTGATTCCCACGTCCGTGTCGAGGTGACACTCTGGACGAGGAAGCGCCCTCCGTTGCGTGGGCAGCACTTCGGTCATTACGCCGGCGCTCGATGCTGGCGCGGGCGTCCTGCTCCCCATGCAGATCTTCCCGGGTCGAAGGAGTCGACGAAGGAGTGGCAGCCGAACGGCGAACAGCGGCTGCCGCTCGTCGTGCCCTCCGTCTTGACGACGCGGAGCCGGTGGTAGCAGCACCAGAGGCCTTGGTGGCGGAGGACCGGCCACCAGCATCTAGGCGCCGCCGTGCCGTCATGACCAATTTGGCCACATCGTCCAGCCATCGTTGGGCTGGAGACTCCGGGTCAGGGACGACAGGCGGGTGGCGTAAGAGCGCGCCCGCAGCTTGGAGCGCGCCCTGGGGCGTGCTGCCGTCGCCGTAGACGAGGAGGCGACGGTCCCCATCTCGCCGTTCTCCTCCATCGCCCGCGATCGGTGAAGCCGCGGATCTTTCGACCCTTTCGAGCGCCTCCCCCTGCTTAGGACTTTGGCGTGGAGGGGGCGGTGGAGTACGAGCTCGACGACGTGGGTTCGGCTCCCCGTCGTCGCCACTCACACTGGGAGAGAGGTCGGGCGCCTTTGCTTGCTCAGCCATGAGGCTGATCAAGAAAAACTTGACGCACACGGAAAAGCGCGAGAGCTCAGAAAACACACGCTGAGCCCCCTACCTGGCGCGCCAGATGACGGAGCGCGGTGCTCCTCACCGGGAGACCGCACAGGCCCCCCTTTGCCGGTTCGGCCGGGGGCTCAGGGTGAGATCTCAAGCTCTCCGTGTATGTGGGAAGATCGCGGCCTCTCAAAAGAGCATGAAACACAAGCGATGTATACAGGTTCAGGCCGCTGAGAAGCGTAATACCCTACTCCTGTGTTTTGGTGGATCTGCGTATGAAGGAGCTACAAAGTGTGAGCCAACCTCTCCCTCGTTCTAGGTTCTGAATCTGGAAAAGATCATCCCCTTTCTCTATGGGCCAGGTCCTCCTTTTATACTTCAAGGGGATACCACATGCACCCCTCCCTTTCCAAACTGGACTTTTCTTCTCTTCATAAATGGACGGAGATTTGCACGGTCGTCCTCCGAACATCCTCCTGACGGGACGGCACACACCTACCTCCACTTCTGCCTGAGGCGGGCACGTCGTGGGAAGGTGGCTGTGTGCTGACGACATGAGCAGTGTCAGACCGGTCACAAATCGGTCATTCTTGTCCACCACGCGTCGGCTTAGCAACGTGCATGTTTGCCCTTCTTCAAACAACATCTTGCTTGTAATGGTTAGGATGAAGCCTGGCATATATCGATCGGGGCTAACGTGTCATCTCTGGGATGTAACACGCTAGTTCCAGCCGGGGACGAGTGCCTAGAAGCTCTCGTCTTGACGGGATGGGGCGAAGCGGGCGTCAGACCGCCTGTCGCCACCTAACCCGCGATTTGACCGGTCTGTGACTGGTCACAGACCGGATAATCGAGTGCACTGCACTGCATTCGTGCGGCGTGACACGCTTAACCGAGGGCGCAATAAATGCGGTTAGGTGAGCCCCGCTGTGCTCACCTAACCCATACACGTGGAGTAGAAACGCGAGGGGTCGGGGCGCCTCGGCCCTCGGGGGCGAGGCAGGAGTGGTCCGACCCCCCCCCTCGGGGAGACCAAGAGGTGGGCGCACACATCACCCTCGGGCCCGACGTCCCCCGAGGGTGCCAGGCCACGTGGGCGATGGCGTCTGCCTCAAGCCTCTAGTCATGATACTCCCGGTCCCATGTCACCGACACCCTTCATCACAGCGCACATGCGTCCAAAGGTGGTGTCATTCTCCCCTGACGCTGACCTGAAGGTACTAATGTTGGCGTCACTGCTACGGCGAGGGTGATAGCGGTAAGCAGTGTTGCGGAGGTCGTGGTCGTGTAGCTCCCTCATCCTGGCCATCATCCTTAAAGCAGCCTCCTGGCAAGCATGCTCAAAGGTGCCTCCTGTAGCAGTAACTACCATGTTGGGCAAGACAGTGGGAATGTCGTGCACCTCCAAGCGGACTTGGTGCGGGAACTCGCCATTGAGGAGGCGAAGCTGTGTGTACTCCGGGTTATGAGGGTAGCCCACTGCGATCGCCATACGACCCAGCTCTGCCACGAAGCCATCCATGCCCTGACCGTGTGTAGGGGGAAGGTTTGACATCTATAGAAGACAAAGGGTAGGAATCTATGCATGCTCAAATCCAAATTAAATAAAGCAATAAATGACTCAAGTAAATAAGCAAGCAAGAGCAACTTTTTATGCACAGAACATTTTACATGAACCAAATAAACATACTAATGACACTGATTAAACAATAAAGTAATGCGTAAAATAAATAGATAATAGTAATAAGCATAAAGATTGCATCCCATCGAACCAAGACATGACTTAATGCATACCTCCCATTAAATAAATTCTCGACTAACTATCAAATGAAATTCCAATTGACCCCAAATCTATTTACCCAAAGTTACTAATACCCTAGACTGACCTAAATTTTAAATATCTCATTCGAATAAGCGATCAAGATTTTTCCCTGTAAACCAAGGAAGAAAATTCTCAAATTTTCCCTGAAACAAATCCAAATGCAAAAGAACATATGCGTATGAAAGAGTTTCAGTGAGCTCTTAAGGTTTCCAGTTGGCTTGTCCTATGGTCAAGGTCAGCTCTAATACCAACTTGTCACGCCAAGAAATTTACGAAACAAAATTCCGAGCTGCATGTGCATTAAATGACATAGGCGTGTCTATCAAAACCATGCGCCAATAGCCCACCATTAAGCATATTTTAGTTGTTTGAATACCCTGGTGGTACACGTCCAATATCATCATCATTAAACCAAGATTTAAGTTACATGTGAGATCCCCCATATAGTAAGCTAGTTGATCTAAGCATGGCTAAGTATGTTTCCTAGTTGATCTAGTCATATTAATACCCATTTTATCAATGGGTTAAGGTAAACAATCTATGGACAAGTATAGGTAACCATCCCACATGACATTGTAAAATGGCAAAATTTGCTACAACTCAAAAAATATGTAATTAGTTGCGAGACATAACAAAAATATGAATTTGCCTGAGAACACTCAGTGTGGTAATTTGCTGTAGGATACCGAACACATTAAAATATAATATCCACCCAATTGATGAGAGGGAACCCATACAAAATGACCGTTTTGCCCTTCTTCTTCTCCCAATCCTCCATCGATTCCCCAATCCATCGCAGACCGGCCGACCCAAATCCCCATCACCCCATCACCCCATCGATGGACGATGGCTGATGTGGAGCCTAGAGCCGGCGCCGCACACGAGAGGGCAGGCGGAGGCTAGGAGGGGTGTGGTCGCCGGGTTCGTGGGCAGTGGCACGGTAGGTGGCGAGCAGGCACTGGCAAGCTGGGCAGGAGGCGCATGGCGCAATAGCAGTGCAGGTGCAGCAGCAACTCAGCAAGCAGCAAGCCAAGCAAAAGTAGCCATCATTCCACCAGCAGAAAATGGATAATTCCTAAATGTGAATCTTTGCTATTTGTCAATCCATCACTCCAGTACCCCACCATGCCGGGGATGGCTGCGAGGAGCTTCCTATTACGCTTGCTCTCAGCGGCCACGTTCCTAAGCTTGTGCAGCGTGTCAAGGAGACCAGCAGAGCTTGTGGCGCGCACGATCAGCTGGGGACTTGGGGGGTAGGGATGAGGCCGATGACAGTGGCAAGCCATTGGAGCTCGTTGCAAGTGAGCGTTGGAAAAAGACCGAAAGAAGGGAGAAGAAGGGCAAATATGTCATTTTGTATGGTTTCTCTCTCATCAATTGGGTGGATATTATATTTTAATGCGTTCGGTGTCCTGCAGCAAATTACCATACTTTTGGAGTGTTCTCGGGCAAATTCACGTTTTTGTGATGTCACACAGCTAATTACATACCTTTTGAGTGTCCTAATGCAATATTTAATAGAAAATGAGACGTTTGCGAAATAGGTACAATATGATTAATTAACATGTATCACTTGCCTTGCCCCCGGTGCTGCAGGAACTTCTGGGACCACTTCAAAGTAAAGTAGAGCTTCGGATTCACCGGAATCTAAGCGAAGCACACATACAAAACAGGCTATAAGTCTATCGAGACATAAACAAAACTATTTTTAATGGATTTTAAGTTTATTTATGAATTTACTGTAATTTGAGTGGGCTCAAACGGAGCTCGGATGAATTTTTTATGAATTTTAAAAGATTGACCGTGCTTTTAGAAAAGCCCTTAAATAAAATATTACGCATTAAAGCCAACGGCTGACGTCACTGAGGGAGGGGGCCGGGGCTGACATGTGGGCCCCATCGGTCAGCGGCGCAAGTGTCCGATCCACCGTGGACAAGTCCACGAAGACGGAGACGGGGGCACCAAGTCACGTGGGCGGTCGAACGAACGGCCCTGATCTGCCGCGTGGCAGATCAGGCAGCTGAGATGCGGCGGTGAGCTGGCACGGGCTCAGCCGAGCGGCGTCGCGCGGTCACCGGCGGCGACGCGGGGAGTGGCGGCGCGCGGCGCGGGAGACGGCGGTTCGCACAGGGAACGGCGGCGCACCCAAAGGGGCAGCGGCGCGCACGGGAAGGAGAGGGCAAGGGAGGGGGTTCCTCACCGGCCGGCGCGGAAGGGGACGACGGCGGCGGTGAGGAAGGCGACAACCTGGCGGCAGAGGGCGCGGACGGGCAGCTGCGGGACCTAAGAGAGAGAACGAGAGGGGTTTGAGGGGAAAAGAGGGTTCACGGCAAGCGGCACTGTCGGCCGGGAGGCAGCGGAAAAGGAGGTGCTCACCGGCGACTGAGGCGAGACGTGTTCCGGTGGCGAGGAGCAGGCGGGCTCGGTGAGCGCGGCGGTGGCGACGGCGCGGCTAGGCAGCAGCCCTAGCAGTGGCCGGAGATGGTGGAAGGCGGCGGCGCTAGCTTCGCACGGCACGAGAGGGAACGAGCGAGCGGGGAAGCAGCGGTGGTTGCGGAAAGAAATGGAGGAGAGCTCGCGAGGGGGTTTTATAGAGCCGTGGGCCGGATGGACCTCTCTCCCGTGGTAGGCGGCAACGGCGGCGGTGAGGGGCGATGTCGGGGCGTGAAGCCGGGAGGAACTGGGGCCGCGTGCGGCCGTTGCGGGCGCGGGATGCGTGGAGTGGGGCGCGCACACGTGGGCGAGGCGCGGACAGTGGGGTTACTGGGGCGCCGGGCACGGGCGGATGTTGTTCTCCCCCTCCGATTTCACCGGCGAGAGGAAGGGACGGGCCTGACAGGTGTGCCCCACCCATCGGCGACCCGTGGAGGAGTGGGCGCTCGCGGGGCCCAGCTTGCTGAGCCTTCGGCCGGCCTAGCGGCAGCGAGGGCAGTTGTGCGCGCGCTCGGGCTAGAGCAGGCCGGCGGCGGGAAATTGGGCCGGAAACAGCCTATCGGCTGAAAAAGAAAAGAAAATGGTTTTGAAGTTAATAATTCCGATAATTTGTTTTCAATTATTAAAATTACTTCCTTTGTTTATATACATGTAGAAAGAAATTAATTATATTGCTAGCAAGTCATTAGATGTCTAATTAATAAGAATTAATGTTGACATCAATTTACAATTTTTTAGAGTAGCTCTTACAGAACAATGACTCGTATGAAAAAAAAAATACTACTTAGGGTTTACGACAACTGAAATTGATGAATTATCTAATTTATACGATTGCTATCTGAGGGTATAAACGAATAAATTAACTTTTAAAAAGTTAAAATTTTATTTTAGAAAAGTATTCCAAGATTTTTTTTTTCAAAAAAGCACCATTTAGAAACTTGGAATGCATGAAAATAAAAATTGAAAGTATAGAATCAGGAAAAAAATAGGCCCTTAAACTCGCTTATAACACTTACGTCCTACTAAGAGTTCTATTGATATTGGTTCATATTATGCTCACATTTATAACATAATGATTTCTTTCACCTCATGAACAAATAATAAAAAATCTAAATACGATATAACACAATCTATCTATCTATACCTATATTAATTGGACACTTTTTATGAGCTCTCACGTTAATAAGAAAAGTCTAACCATTGAATATAATTAATTAATTTAATCAGAATCATAGATGCAATAGTGATTTAACGCCATAGGCCTGTCTACCGTCAACTTTATGGGCTCTTTCCATAGCCCATATGTTCTTATCTCTAGTCAATTGTATCCGGGAGAGGCAGGGGGCGACACGCGCCAGCTGGCAGCCTGGCACCCTCTCCTAAGCATGATTTTTTTCGTTTTCTTTTTTTCGCGGTTTTTTTTTTTCATTTTTCATTTTGCGCTTTTTCTAATTTTTTTAATCTTCAGCACACATGTTTTCAAATGTTTGAGTTAAAAGTTTTTAAATTTTAATTTGAAAGTTTTTAAATCTCAACGTAAAAATTTTCAAATATGGACTTAAAAATTTTCAAATCTCGAGTTGAAATTTCTTAAATCTCCAGTTGGAAGTTTCTAATCTGAGTCGAAAGTTTTCAAATCTGAGTTGAAAGTTTTTAAAATTTGTTTTACAAATTTGAATTTCAAGTTGAAAATTTTCAATGTTTGAGTTGAAAGTTTTCAAAATTTGACTTCAAAGTTTAAATCTTAAGTCGAAAGTTTTGAAATCTAACTTGAAAGTTCAAATTTCGAGTTGAAAAAAATTAAAAAATTGAGTTTTGAGTGTCAAATTTTGAGTTGAAAGTTTAAAATTTCACGTGGAAGTTTCTTTCACATATAGATTTCTTTTCAATATGTTAGTAAAAAAATCTTCAAAAAAAGGAAAATCTTTCCTTAATTACCGTCATTATCCTAAACTAACTCGAAACTAACTCGGTTAGTTACGTTGATTCCTCTGGAATCGCCGGCGCGCGTTAGCTTTTCTGCACAACTATATCTGATGGAGAGAGCTAGGTAACAGTCTAGCAGATGGAAGCATGAGGCCACGAGCAGAACCGTGAGCATAATACGAGAGACTTCACCTTGCCGGGGTGTCCATTAACACGATTGAAAACTTCAGCAAAGGAGTCGCTCCAGCCGCCAATTCGAACAGCATATATGCATGGACGGATCGACCTGCTGTTGAGATTGCATATCCCGCATGCATGTGCACCAACCTGCGCAAATGGAAAGAAGATCGAAGTAGATAAGTTCAATTATATTTTGATGAATCGGCGGCGGCGGGGGAATCAGTCTCATTGTGAGTAGAGCACAGCAAGTTCATTTGGATCTTTAAACGGCAGAAGAAAACGCATCAGATATGCATCAACTGATCTGTACGTTGTCCTAACATATCCAATCCTTTTTCCCGTTGCAGATCTACTATTAGTTTTGTAATACAATGGCCAACAATATTCATGCCTGGATTAGGGTCGAATATCATCTGCACAAATACAGTTCATTAATTGTTGACCAAATTAATACTTATTCTCCTTGGCCAGCATACATAATCACATTATATTTCTATATCATGATTGTGGGTGTTTGCACGCAAGTTTCATACCTATGCTTATTGCTCGCTTTATTGTAGTGAATAAATCAAAATCACCTATCTAGGTGGTATCATCAAATTAGGAGTGAAATAAAAGAAGAGTCAAGACACATCATCGCAGGTTCCTAATTCTTAAATTTAGATTAATAAAGAATTGAAATACTAAAAATCAGAGCCCTAAGAGGAGGACAATCTAGTATTTTCAATTTAAATTTTCGGTATTATCAAACTAAAAAAATTTCGTATTTATTAACTATGAGTCCACATTAGATATGGCTCGCTAATATTTTTTTTTATTTTGAGAACTATTAAATTAGCAAAAAAAACTAAATCGAAACTATAGACAAGCACAAAGAACGCATTTGATACTCGAGTACTTTGCATTGAGCTATTCTACAATTTAAAACTATTTAAAAAAATTAAAATTAAGACAACAGTAAAACTTTATGACGTGAAAAAACTATGAACAAACAAAATAGAATTAATAAATTTGTATTATTAATTCATATTTTTTATCAGTAAAACTATGAATTAATAAAAAAATTTACTATTAATCTTAATCTTTAGAAATATGAATAAAATAATAGATAATGTAATGTAAAGTAAATACTAGAAAAAGCGATGTGAGTTTTTTTTCCTAAGAGGATATGGCCCTCGGAGCCAAATATGGCCACCTACGAAAATTTAAACTGGGGTGGAGCTTGTCGTTCGCCTGCGAAGATCAGTTCTTTTATGCGGATCACTTAAGAGGTCCGCCTACGAAAATACCTTTATTTTCATAGACGGGCCTCTTAAGGCGTCCGCTTGGAAAAAAATGATTTTTGCAGGCAGAACCTTATGTTGTCCGTCTGCAAAAATTATGCCTGCAGAAAAAATATCTAAGTCCCATCATTATCTTCTCCTTCACCATCCTTACCCTGTTGGCCACTCATTTCCCTTCCCCTTCTCTCTTTCTCTCTCATTTCCTTCCCATTAGACGGCAGGTCACGTGATGGCCTCCCTCTCCTGGTGATGGTGGTGGCTCAGTGACGAGGAGGGGAGGCGTTGGCCGCAACGAGGAGGAGAGGGGAGGTTGGCGGTTCAACTCCTCCCTCTCCCGGCAACAGCGGCGGCTCAGCGATGAAGAGGTCGTGACGACAACAACGATTCCTCCTGGATCTGCCACCGGCTCGCCCTGGGCGCGCAGATCCATCGCCAGCCGGCCATGAGTACGCCGATCCATCGCTGGCAGGTCTTAGGGAGGGGAGGTGGTGGCGATGAGGAGGTGAGGGGACGGGAGGGGATGCAGCGACTCGGCTCCTCCCTCTCCCGGCGACGGCAGCGGCTCAGCAACATGGAGGTCACGACGACGATGATGATGCCTCCTGGATCCGCCGCCATCTCAGCCTAAGCATGAGGATCCACCCCTGGCCGGCCGTGGCGAGCAGATCCGCCACCGACCAGTCTCAGGGAGGGGAGGGGAGGTGGTGGCGACGAGGAGGTGAGGGGAGGGGATGCAGCGGCTCGGCTCCTCCCTCTCCCGGCGATGGCAGCGGCTTAGCGACGAGGAGGTGGCGACGACGACTTCTAGATGTGCCGCTGGCTCGCACCGGGTGCGTGGATCCACCACTGGCCGGCCACCGGCACGCGGAGCCGCCGTCGGCTGGTCTCGTTGAGGGGAGTGGAGGTGGTGGCGATGAGGAGGTCAGGGAAGGGGAGGGGATGCGGCGGCTCGGCTCCTCCCTCTCCCGGCGACGGCAGCGGCTCAGCGATGAGGAGGTCGCAACGACGACATGACGCCTCTTGGATCCGCTGCTGGCTCGCCCCGGGAGTGCGGATCCACCGCCGGCTGGCCGCGGGCGCGCGGATCCGCTACCGGCCGGTCTCGGGGAGGGGAGGGGAGGTGGTGGCGATGAGAAAGTGAGGGGGAGGGAATGGGATACGGCGGCTTGGCTCCTCCCTCTCTCGGCAACGACGGTGGCTGAACGACGAGGAGGGGAGGCATTGGCCGCGACGAGGAGGTGAGGCGGTGGCTCAGCTCCTCCCTCTACCAGCCCGGCGACGAGGAGGGCCAGCAGCGGCTTGGCGACGAGGAGAGGAGGTGGCGGCGGGGGTAGGGGTGGTGGCAGCAAATTTGTTTTTGTTCACTGAAATTATTTTTGTATGAGGGTGGAGATGCTGCCTGCGAAAATAATTTTCGTAGGCCTTTGTTTACTGGCGGCCCTTTCCCCGCCTGAAAAAACTACTTTTGGCCGTCTGCGAAAATGATTCCTAGTAGTGATTGTTTTCTAAAGCGATTTCGTATTGTTGACATTTTTGAGTTTGAGGGGACGATGCCTAGGCCACGATGCATGAGTCCAGTGTATCTTGCTGTGCAACATTGGATGACAAAGGCGAGCGTCAGTATGGAGTAAGATTTTGTATATATTGTTATTGTCAAAATCCACAATTATTTTCAATAGGAAAAGTAAATTACTTGGTTTTTACTAATCTATTTATCTATTAAAAAAATATAATTCTACATTTAAATCGATTTATAAATTT